ATGGGTTTTAAGCAGATACTGGCAATGCTGAAGCTCACCACAATAGCAACAGGAGGTGGCTACAAAATTATTACAGTAGTACAGTATTACTACATTTAATTTTAAGCAGTTATGATTTAATACGGTATCTTTACACTTGTTTACATTTCCCTAAACTGTGAAATGGTGCCATGTGTGTGGTCTGTAAATGTTAAGTTTTTATAATATATTTGTATATGTTTTATGATAATAAATGTTAAAATAGACTGGTATTTACATATATTTTATGCATTCATGACATATCCACTTTTTCTTTAATTTTTCACTATTGCTAGGGTACACAGTTTATCCGCTAGTTTTTTCAAATTGCCAAAATTCTCCAAAAATTTCTCAATATATTTATTGAAAAAAATCCATGTATAAGTGGATCATGTGTTTCAAACCCATGTTTTTCAATTGTATTTTTCAGGTTTGAGTGATTCAAAGTACTAAATAGCTCATACCATCTAGGAGAATTATACCATTAGATATGAGTGAAGTTTCAAGTTTAATTTGTATTGAAAGTAAATAGTATGTACTGCTTGGCTTATAGGCAGGTAGGAGCGTCTTAAACCAATGAGAAAATATCTGCCTATTTAGCTAAGCAAGAAAGCAAAGATTGGTTAAGAAGGACTATTTCACAAAACCAAGACTTTTCATAGATGCTTTTTCTTTACTAATTTAACTTTTGTTGTGATTCTGTTTATAGTAGTTTGGTTTATTGAGGAGTATTTGCACTTGTTAGGAATTACTGTCCTTTGTTGCCAGATGTCCAGTCTGCAAAACCATAACTATAATATTTTGTCTATTCTTGTCATTGTTTCTGATAGGAAGGTAAATTCAATCCATATTCTTCCATCTTGGCCAGAAGGGGAAATCCTGACCTTTGTCTTCCGTATTTGTTCATAGATGTCTTGACATTTTTGTCACCATCATCAGACCATCTGAATCCTTGACAACTTTATCTTATTCAGTGCAATGACCCCTTTTTACTTCACTCACATGACTATCCTTTTTCTACTCAGAGTTAATTTATCGTTTTCTTAGTATCCTAGACTTTTGTACTTTGTAGCTTTTGACTTCTGTGCCAGTTTTTGTCCATATTAGATACTTGTTTTTAATCCCTTCAAATGCCACTTGGCCTTATGTGTTACTCCAATCATTGTTCTATTTCCTGAAAGCTTTGAGTGTTTTGCATAAATACAGTTGTATTATGCTTTGCTTCAGACTGGAACCTCATACCACACTTTTAAATTTCTTTTCTGCTGTGGGGCACCGCTGAAGTCATGGCACAAGATGCAAAAATCTGCTCCAAATTTATGAATGCATAACCAAAAATTGTACAGGAGTTAATGACTCTGGAGTCTACCCTTGAACAATGAATAAGGTCAATGGTGAAGAAATGTTTTCCTCTTTAATCCCTCAGATTGACTCCGACTCAGGATGTCTCTGGAGGATTGAGCCCCAGCTACCCTCCATTACAGCCTTGTATTGGCTTTCCCTCCTTCCCTGTGATGTAATGCCACTGTCACAATCCTTTATTCTCTATCCCCGACTGCTCTATCCTCATTTATTTCTATGCTACTGATAATTGTAGAAAATAAGAAAAACACCATTTTGGATAGATCTCCTAGTAAATCACACCATCTTACACTAAATGGATTCTTTTTCTGCCAAGTGATCCCAAATAGTCATCTTGTGTAATATTGCTGCTTTAATCTTTCATGTCTTCATCCTCAAAACTGGCCTTCCTCATTCTCAACCTGAGTTGTTGAGAAGTGTAAGACTTTACAAGATTGGCTTCCACATTGTCTTTTGTCTATATTTCAAAACAGTTTTCAACTGATTTCTCTCCTTTATAAAAAAATTATTTAAAAAAATCTTTTTAAAAAAATTAATTTTATTTAAATTCAATTAATTAACATATACTGTGTTATTAGTTTCAGAGGTAGAATTTAGTGATTCATCACTTGTATGTGACACCCAGTGCTCTTTACATCACTTGCCCTCCTTAATGTCCATCACCCAGTTACCCCATCCCCCCCACACCTCCCCTCCAGCAGCCCTGTTTGTTTTCTGTAGTTAAGAGTCTCTTATGTTTTGTCTCCCTCTCTGATTTCATCTTTATTTTTCCCTCCCCTCCCCTATGATCCTCTGTTTTGTTTCTTAAATTCCACATATGAGTGAAATCATATGATAATTATCTTTCTCTGATTTATTTTGCTTAGCATAATACCCTCTAGTTCATCCATGTAAAAAAAAATCTTTAATCCACCTCTACTTTCCAATGTGAGCAGAAACATCAGTTATTCTTAGAGTTAATTTTTCCAGTTGTGCTTTTGATTATTTTTAATCCTGACTTCTCCCATCCTTTTCTTACCAGTCTTCCCATATCCTTCCTTAATTTCTAGTGGCTCCTTTTGCAGACTGCAGCTATGCTCAGATCTTACCTATAATAGAAGAAAACAAAACACAAAATCAAAATCCTTTTTTTTTACTTCATCATTATTCCTATTAACCATGAGATTTTCTTGCTTTTCTCATTCAATGGAACATTTATTGAAATAATACTCTATTTATCTCATATTTATTCTTTAAGCCTTGACAAACTAGTTGCAGTCTCTATCACTCCTTGGAAACCACTGTCTTAAAGGTCAGTGAAAGATTGGGGCGCCTGAGTGGCTCAGTTGTGAAGTGTCTGGCTTTGTCTCAGGTCATGATCCCAGGGTCCTGGGATCGAGCCCCACTTCGGGCTCCCTGCTTGGTGGGGAGCCTGCTTCTTCTCCCACTCTCCCTGTTTGAGTTCCCTCTCTCGCTATCTCTCTCTCTGTCAAATAAATAAATAAAATTTTTAAAAAAAAAAAGGTCAGTGAAAGATAAAATAATCATTATACCTCATAGCCTTTCCTCAGTCATCATCTTTGATCACATTTCAGCATGTTCCAATAAATCAGTTTTCTATTGTGACATTGTAAAAATTTCTGTCTAGCTTCTTACTCTTTGCATTCCCTAATCATTGCCTTATCCACTCCCAGAGCTCTCTGTAAGTTCTTTCTCTGACTGATCTTTCTCCCACACCCCAGTCTTGTATTATTGCTCATTTCTTATTGTATATTACTGCTGGACAATGAGTTGGACCTCAAAGTTAGTTTCTCTAAAATGGAGCTTATTATTCCCACTTACTTCCTCTTTACCTCAGCTCTTTCTTCTAACTTTCTTGTTTTTGAACAGTAATACTTTTTTTTAAGGCACCAGTGGATTTTAACTCCCTCTTTGCATCTTCAGTATTTGGAGAAGAGAAAACAAAGCACTCTAATTTATAAATATTGACTCGGTTAATACCCACAACAGTTCACATTTCATACATAAGTAAACTAGGACCCAAAATAGTCAAATGAGTTGCCTAATATCTCAGAGCTATCTAGGAATGGGAACCATATCTGCTGGATACTAAAATTCATACACTTTTCACTGTGTAACAGAATAGTGACTCTTAAACAGCATAATATCCTGAATCATCAAAGAAATATTCAATTACATTTTTGCTATTTATTAAGGAAGGAGAGAAGACAAATACATTTTAGAAAGAATATGAACCTTTTCAACAGGACTTGAAAGTAATAAATACTTTCTGTTAAACTTTGTATTATTAAAATGCTGTTAACCAGAGCAACGTCTTTCCCAGATTCCTCATTCAGTCAAGGTTGTGTTACATATTGAACAGGGTGATTGTGTTATATACTAAACTGGGTGCTTGTATTATATACTAAATTGGGTATATATTCACTAATGTCTTTCATATTGAGTTCAGAGTTGGAAATAGTTTTTTTTTTAATTTTTTAATTAACATATAAGGTATTTGGAGAAGAGGTTATTATTATTTGTTTCAGGGGTACAGGTCTGTGATTCATCAGTCTTACACAATTCACAGCGCTCACCATAGTACATACCCTCCCCAGTGTCCATCACCCAACCACCCCATCCCTCCCAGGAAATGGTTTTTTTTTTAGTATATGTTATTAATTGGATATTTTCCAGTGTTAAACTCAACAATTAAAGAAAATCTTCACCCACTGAGCTTCAGAGCTAAGTTAAGTTTGACAACTGAGACAGAAAAATCTAAAAGTAAAGGGAGGATCAATAGCAGCAGTTAGTTAATAGTGAGGAAATGTCCTATGAATAGGCAAAGTGGGAAATTACATGATGGCCTATAAGTATGGATTATACTCTGGGCAAAGGATGCACCATCATTAGGCAATTGCACACTGAACAACTGCCAGTTAAGTACCATTTTAACCAATTTAGACGTAATGAACTTAGTAGATGAGATCCCTGCTGAATTAAGGAGCAATCAAAGCCTCATTTTGGATTCTGTGCCATCTAGGTCAAGACGTTCCAAAAGTGTTGTGTATTACTTGGTACAGAAAAGAGATAACTTTCTTATCCTTCCTTCTAGTTAAATCTTTTTTTTAAAGATTTTATTTATTTGAGAGAGAGTGAGAGCAAGAGCAGGGAGAAGCAGGCTCCCTGCTGACCAGGGAACCTGACGCGGAACTTGATCCCAGAACCCTGGGATCATGACCTGAGCCAAAGGCAGACGCCCAGCCGAACGAGCCACCCACCTGCCCTAATTCTTTAATAAATATTTATGGAATATAATTCGTGCCATAGAGAGTATCATTTGGTGATTGGTAGGTAATGATATGACAGAATTGGAAAACTGTTCTTTGCCTTTAAGGAGTTTTATTTCCATTTTTGCTAATTTTTTCAATTACTCTGAATGACTTTTTTTTTTTTAATCAAAAGGATAAAAAGAATTTTGTTTAGGTCTAAAAGCAAAGTAACTCTCCCTTAGCAAGCAGGTTGATAAAAGGTCTTTAGTAAAAAGGATAAGGAATGAAGAGGTGAGGATGTGTTTTGTGTACTCAATCTCACCTATCTCAGAGGTGCAATGACACTGTGGTTTTATTTGGAACTTTCAGGAAGTGCAAAAGATGTGTCAGAAGAAGCCCATGTCTGCCTACCCTGCAGGGAGGGCTGCCCTTACTGTGCTGATGACAGCCCCTGCTTTGTCCAGGAGGATAAGTATTTGCGACTTGCTATCATCTCCTTCCAAGCCCTGTGTATGCTGCTCGACTTCGTTAGCATGCTGGTGGTCTACCACTTTCGCAAAGCAAAGGTAAACCCAGGTACCCTGGTTATGAACTTCCTTTTTATTATGAAGTGACCTCTTCTTTTTTCAAGCAAATAGAGTTTTTCCAAGTCCTACTTGCCTCTCTATTTAGCAGAAGTCTTCCTATAATATAATCAGACTAGAATATGAACATTATATTCTTTAGCTTCCCAGGAGAAATACGGATTAAAAATATGGAATCTTGTTATAACATTTTCTTTTACAGAATGTTTCCCCCTATTTAGCATGAAGCTTGAGTACTTTATTGCCTTAAAGGACTCTCTTTTATATCTCTTTGGTTTCTAGAAGAACTTATTCTGCCAGTACCCAAAGTATTGTTAATTTTTTTCATATTTAGAAAGCTTTTTGATATTTATTATATTTCATTTTTATTTCTCTTAGCCATATTTGAAGTTAGCAAATGGACTTGACTATTTTGAGCAAATGTGCTCAAAGTGTAATGATACTTTGAAGAATGAATTTATTCATGAACTTATATTTAGTCTTGCATTAGTGTCCCAGGATAATAGTGATCCTACAAAGAGCTTATATGGCTTTTGAGAGAGCCTGTCCTTCGGTCCTGTTCTGAGAAATCAAAGAGTAGTATAAACATTTGTATGCTTCTCAGTCAGGGGTGGATGAAATGGTAAAATGTTCAGGGCAAAGCTTTCTGGGGAGTTGTCCTCAGTTGGTCACCCAATTAATTATATGTAGCCAGTGTTGTTGTCAGAATTTGTGGTTCTGTTGCTTTCAGAAACTTATTTGTGCCATTGGGAAAAAAACACAAAGCTAAATTTTCCACCTTTTCTGAATTCAAATGAGCCCTTCATGTTAGCAAAGTTGTACAGATTGGTTTAGATAACAGAGCTCATTGGAAGCATAAAGTGTTCCCATTAGAAATTTAAAAAATAAAACAACACTGTGAATGGCATCTATTACAAGGCCTCAAGTTAACATTAAAAAAATCCCCTCTATTGAGATTCTAGGAGAAAGTATCCATTATGTTAATGTCATAGACTTAAATAGTTCATTTTAAATAGACAGTTTCATTAACAGAAGCATACAACACAAATTAAAATCAAGCTTTAAGTCAGCAAGAAAGTGCAGACAGGCAAATTGCTCTTCATTTAACCAATACTTGTCTTTCTTTTAAAACAAAATGTGTGTTAAATTGTATATAAAATAAAGTAGGAGGCAAGTGGAGTTGAGAAATATCTAACCACAGTTACCTAGATAAAATTTAATGTTTTTTAAAAAAAAAAAACCTGTCACTGGTAGAGCAGGTAGAGTTGAAAGGTCTATTTAATAAACTGCTCTGAAATCTCTCTATATGATGTCATTCATTCATACAGGGGATAACAGATAGTTCTTTATGAATTTTACTTGATTAGAATCATTAATGATTGCTGTGCTAAATGTAGTTAATGATATATGATGGGTAGAATATTACATTGGATATTAAGAAAACTGATACAGTTCTTGCTAGACCAAAGTCTTTATCTATGCTGATGTTATTTAACATTTCCAGAATTTTTAACTTTTCAAATTTCTCTGGACCTTCATATGAAATGCTACTTTATAGGGCTATCATGAGAATTGGCATCTTTCCATATCATTTGGTGAAATTTTTATAGATACAAACTGGTTGGAATAGACAAATTAGACATTATCTAGTTTTAAGATGGTCACCTTTTGAAGAATCAGTTTTCACAGAATGTGACATAACATAGGGGGGATTATTTTGAGGAAATAATATAGGTTAATAAAGTCAGTGAACATGGATCTAGTATATTGAAGAAAGAAAACTTGGTGAACTTTTCTCTTCTGATTTCAGTTACCAAAAAGAATGATTAACTGTAAAAGCAGTAAACCATTTCCAATGTAGAAATTGTATGTTTATCACATGTGGGCATTGGCTTTGCTTTTTAAAGTTTTTATGTGTCTTTGCAGCATTTCTTTGCATAAAGCAGAAAACTGATGATCCCTTTTGAAGTAATACTGATGTCTTTCTTATAAGTTTTCCATTGTATTGCCTACCCACCAATAATTAAAAGAACAAAAACCTTAATCTATCAGTTTACATATATTTTGACAAAAGAGAAAAACCTTAGTTGCAATATAGAAGTAGCATAATATTGTGGGTAAGTGTGCAGACTTCAGAGTCAGATTGTTTAGACTCGAATCCTGTCTTAGCCCCTTGAATGCTATTACACTTTGGAAAAATTTCTTAGCTTCACTTTGCCTAGGTTTTTCCTCTATAAAATGGGGTTTAACACACCATATACAAAAATTAATTTAAAATGGGTTATACACCTAAATATAAGGCCCAAAACTAAGAAACATTTTTAAGCAGAAAACATAGGCATAAATCGTCATGGTCTTGGGTTAGGCAATGTTTCTTAGATACAGCATGAAAAGGATAAATGACAAAAGAAAAAAATAAATAAATTGGACTTCATCAAAATTGAAAACTTTTGGGGGTGCCTCAGTCGTTAAGCCTCTGCCTTCAGCTCAGGTCATGATCCTGGGGTCCTGGAATCGAGCCCCACATCAGGCTTCCTGCTCAGCCAGGAGCCTGCTTCTCCCTCTCCCACTCCCCCTGCTTGTGTTCCCTCTCTAGCTGTCTCTCTCTCTCTGTGTCAAATAAATAAATAAAATCTTCAAAAGAAAAATTGAAAACTTTGCATCAAAGGACACCATCAAAAAGGTAAAAAAGACAACCCATAGAATAGCAGGAGATATTTGTAAATTATACTAGAACCCAGAGCATATAAAGAATAAAAAGATAACCCAATTGAAAAATGGGCAAGGGATCTGAATAGACATTTCTACAAAGAAGATATATAAATGGCCAATATGCATATGAAAAAATGCTCAATAACATTAGTTATTAGGAAAATTCAAATCAAGCCCCCAGCACACACTGGCAGAGCTAAAAATGAGAAGACAATAACAAGTGTTGTTGAGGATGTGGAGAAATTGAAACTCTCATTCATTGCTGTTGGGAATGTAAAGTGGTACAGCCACTTTGGAAAATAGTATAGTAGTCCCTCAAAAAATTAAACATAGACTTATGATATTACCCAGTAACTCCACTTCTAGGTACATACCCAGGAAAATGGAAAACATATGTCTTCAATGGCTAAAATAAAAAACACAGGAAATAACAAGTGGTGGTAAGGATGTGGAGGAAAAAAACCCTCATGCACTCTTGGTGGGAATGCAAACTGGTGCAGCCGCTGTAGAAAACAGAATGGAGATTCCTCAAAAAGTTAAAAATAGAATTATCAATGACCTAGTAATTTCACTACTGGGTATTTAACCCCCAAAAACGAAAATGTTAATTTGAGAAATATATGCATCCCATGTTTATTGCAATATTATTTACAACAGCCAAGATATGGAAACAATCCAAGTGTCCATCCATAGATGAATGGATAAAGATGTGGCGTGTGTGTGTGTGTGTGTGTGTATGTAACAGAATATTACCCATAAAAAAGGGTGAGATCTTGCCATTTGCAACAATGAGGATGGATCTAGAAGGTATAATGCTAAGTAAAATAAGTCAGAGAAAGACAAGTATATTTCACTCCTATGTTGAATTTAAGAAACAAAACAAATGAAAAAAGAAAGAAAAAGAGACAAAAAACTGACTCTTAAATACAGAAAACAGGCTTGTGATTGCCAGAGGGGAGGTGCATAGGTAAAATAGATAAAGTGGATTACAAGTATACTTACCTTCATGTGCACTGAGAAATGTATAGAATTGTTGAATCATTTTATTGTACACCTGAAACTAATAAAAAGAAAACATTTGCCTACACAAAAATGTTCACACAGATGTTCATAGCAGCATATTTATAATAGCCAAGAAATGGAAACAATCCAACTGTTCATCAGTTGATGAATGGATAAGTAAAATGTGGTATATCCATTAAATGGAATATCTTTTTGTCAGTAAAAGGAACAAGTAGCGATACATGCTACAACGTGGATGAATCTTGAAAACATGCTAAATGAAATAAAATGGTCATGAAAGATCATTTGTATGAAGTTTACATTTATATGAAATGTCCAGAACAGGCAAATCAGTAGAGCCAAGTAGATCAGTGGTTGTCAAGAGATACAAGGAGGGAAGAATGGGGTGTGACTGCTTATAGGTTCAGGGTTTCTTTTGGGGAGGATGAAAATTTTCTAAAATTATGTTATGGTAATATGTTTCACAAGTCTGTCAGTATACTAAAAACCACTGGCTTGTACACTTTACAAGGATTTAAGGTATATTAATTATATTTCAATAAAGCTATTACAAAATTTTTAAAGGAGTTTATTACTTACCTCACAGGATCCTTTTGAAGATTTAATGAGATTATTCATATAAAGTACCTTACTAGACATTTGTCTTTTGTTATTAAATTATTTTAGACCACTTTGTGAAATTAATAATCTGTTTGCTTCCCATGTTAGGGGTTAAGTATGACATTTATTTTTTTTAATATTTTTTTATTTTTTCATTGAGAGAGAGAGAGAGATAGAGCACACAGTGGGGGAGACGCAGAAGGAGAGGGAGAAGCAGACCCCCTCCCGCCCCACTGAGCCAGCCGGGGAGCCCGATGTGGGGCTCCATCCCAGGACCCGGAGATCAAGACCTGAGCCGAAGGCAGATTCTCTACCATCAGAGCCACCCAGGCGTCCCAAGTATGATATTTAAAATGCTAATCCTAATAGATTGTCCAGATAGCTGAAATGAACAAAACACCTGTGGTACAGATTCTTTTATTTTGGCTATATCTTCATCATGAAAGAATGAAAGGAATGTTAAACTGTAAGCAGGATAGTTTCACTTAATTGATTTCAAAAAAAGATCTTTTCTTTTTCTACTTATTGAGGATCTGCTGTTGTTCAGCATTGTGATACCCAATACAATTTGAAGAATAAATGAGAGTAATTATTCTTTTTTTATTTAATAAATTTATTTTTTTAATTTAAGTTCAATTAGCCAACAT